GCAACGACAATGTCAAGATAGTTATCGTTATTGAAATATCCCGTAACTAATGCAGCTGGAAGAGAATCATAGCCAGTTGAATATGTTATTGGAATCGAAAAGGCTCCATTTCCATATCCATAGAATATACTTATACTATTAGTTCCATAATTGACAGTGGCAATATCAATTAATGTGTCATTATTAAAATCAACTAAAGTAATCGAGACTGGACGTGAGGATTGAGTTGAAAGTTCTATTTGACTCTTGAACGATCCATTTCCAAATCCGATAAACATACCAATATTATTAGTACCAAAGTTTGCCACTGCAATATCGAATCGAGCATCATTATTGAGATCACCAATAGCAACCATCGATGGAGTAGAATATAAACCAGTAGAATATTCGATTTGTTTCGAAAAAGTGGTGTTGCCATATCCAAAATAAATAGCTATGTTGTTAACGATGGAGTTGGCAATAACCATATCTATCCAAGTATCGTTGTTGAAATAGCCAACGGCAACCGATTGTGGACCATAATTGTATTCAATTGGATTTGTCAGAGTTGGTGAGAAGTTCATCTCACATGTTTGAGCTACACAGTATAAGAAAAATTGACTTGAAGATTCATTAGTTAATGAAAAGCAACTATATTTGTTGAAATGTACAATCCTCATGATATATGTGAAACACTATCGAAGATTATCATATAACTATTCTGTCGCTATTTGCTGTCTTTCAGCTGAGAAGATAATAATGAACTCAAAACTCTTCATTTTATTCTGTATAAAAAATCCTCGAAACCTGATAGAAACTAGAATGCTTTTTGACTATTAACCATAGAATATATCCGATAGATTCTTCGTTCTCACTGCGTAGAACTTTCACTCACAGTAACTTAGTTTCAATATTTGTTCAAGAATATTTTTAGAAGATTTTAAAATGTTTTCACGGGTCATATTTCGATATTAACTATTCTATATAATCTATATGTACGACAAGATGGTTAGATGAACATACCCTTTTGTTTTGGTGAAGTAAAGCAAACTATTAAGATCCCGATTGTCATTACAACACATGTAAATAGGAAAAATACCACGACCGAAATGATCGAACTTGGTACTGTCCAACGATCACATTTTCTAAAAAAATACAATGGAATCACCCGTGAGATGGAAACAACAAAAAAGACATACAGATTCCATGTAGATGCCGATGCTTTTACCGAGTCATCGATGTTAGCAACATTCGTTGTTGCATTATCTGTATCTGAAATCGGTTCGATGTCTTCCTCCAGCTCAGCAGATGGTTGCTGTGTATCAACTGGAATTTCGATCAACTCCATGTCATTACCAGTAGAATCCATCTCAATCTAAATGAAAGCAACAGTAAACGAAATATTTGCACAGTTTTCTACATTTCATTGAGTTATGATGTAAAAATAATTATGTTTTCCACTTTTCAATATTAAAGATGTATCACATATCAACAACATGTATTTTTCAATACATGTTGAATTTATTGGATCCACTAAACTGTATTTAACACAATAAATAATACATCGTGCATCACGACAAATATTTGGTAAGTATTAGCATAGAAAAATCCTTCCTATTTCTAGATTCTACTATCCAATGAAACAAAGCTAGAATAAGGAAACATATGATGCTACAAATTTCCACATCTAATCATCCAATGAATTGATACGAAGCATGGAGCATATATCATACTACAAACCTCCAGATCATACCATCTAATGAAAAGGAAGTGAGGATGGTGCAGATAAGACACTGCAACTCCTCAGATTCTACCATCGAATGAAAGAACACTGCGGATGGGGCATATCTAATACTACAGCTCTTCATATCTTTCCACTAATTGGAAGGGGACTTAGCATGGGACGTAATTGATATGGTTTTCTTAAGATCCGTTTGAATTTTATTAGTATCTTTGTTTGAATGTGTTGCTTTTCGTTTTGAAGATACAGATGTGCATGAAATAAATTATTTTACGGGTTGATCCTATGAAGAGAAGATTATTGGACTTGAGTTGTGTAGAATTCGAGAATTGATTGGATCTATGTCATCATATTCTTGCAATGAGTATTGATTTACACAACAAAAGGCGCAGATGATGCTATGACAATCAGTTGTTCTATACTAACTCATTTCAAAGAAGTAGCACCGGAAGGTTCGTATATCAGAGATGTGCTCAGAAAATACAAAATATGTTTCAAATGAGATAGACGCATTGTGCAAAGAAGCTTCAAAAGATTAATTATGATTTTCTCGATTTCTTGTCTCGCTCATAAGAATACAAAATATACAACTAAGAACTATAGTTTTCCTAGAGTAATAGATTAGGATATAAAAATATATCATATAAATGCTGTGAACCAAATAAAAATAGTACAGTAGTAGTTACCTATTGAATTCGATATTCGACGATCAATGTAAAATACCAGTGAATAAATATACTACGTAGTTGCAAATAAGAGAAACGACCAACAAAACTGAATAAAAGTATGAAAAATACACACTTACATGTGCTTTTTTTTATCTGCAGTGATCACAGATCCATAGATACGATTTTTTCTTAACAGTAAGGAATATATGAAAAAGTGATTATGTAGAAAAATACATTTATAATATTATTCTTCGATTATACAAAAAACGATTCGCAACGAACGCAACTGCCTAAAGAAAAAAAATTCGCCGAGCAAAAATTTCTATCTTACTTTTACTGCAGTAATGAGTAATAGATTGATCGTCCTTTTTTTTCTTTATAACAAGAAAATAAACAACTAACGCATGACAAAATCT